GGGGGGGGGACTTAAGGGACTGAAAATATGACACACATTTATTTTGTCTTCATGTGCTAGTAATTCCATTTTAGTTTGCAGAATCCCTGCCTTGATAATATATCAAATGACAAAAAAACTGAAGAGAAGAAATGGTTGATATTATTGAACTCTTCTGCATTTTTAGGAGAATATTAATTTGCTTGAGAAGTTATGCGTCCAAAAGTTTGTGAGGCACAAATGAGGCTCATATGACTCAGTTATGTCCAGTGTAATCAGCTGCACTTCTAACCTGAGCTGCCCCCAGTGGAGGAACTCTCAACCTCTTCATGGCCTTCTGACGATCTCCTCCCTCCAGCTCAGTGGTGACGATGGTCTATACACAAACAACAAACAATCATTTTATTTTTGTATTATAGCGTGTATGTGCGTGTTTGTCTGTCTGTATGCGAGCAGGCACCTCTGTCTCGGAGATAAGCTGTGTGATCTTCTTGCAGGTGTAGAAAGGTGCCACCTCCACGTGAGCCACACGCCAGTCGGCCCCGCGAGGAGTGTCCAGGACCTTGTCATGTTTCTTCAGGATCTTACGGAAACCAGTGAAGTTCAGGTTCTGTGAATGGCAAGCAGGAAACAATTGTTACATACCAGACCAACAGATTAGAAGGTTTATTTATTACATCCTGCCTTATTTACACTATAGAACCTCTCCGCCTTGACTCAACCTTGAATGCAGGTGTGTTTGAGAGTTTGTAATGATACCTGGTAGTTCTGGAGCAGGATGAGGCTGAGGTAGAACTCGCTGAAGGCTAGCTTCAGGTCCTTGATGTTGTGGTGTTTGCAGCGTTCCTCCTGCGACAGGTGGAACATTGTCTTGCGTCTCCGCAGGCCGGGCGGGGCGTGGCTCTCGCGCTGAGCGTCCAGTGAAGACTGCAGCTCATTCTGCAGAGTGGCAGAGTGTCTCTGTGCTTCAGCAAGCTTTTCTACAGGTTGGAAGACAAGACAATTATGAAAAGAAGAGGTTTATGTTTTTCTTATGGATTTTTATTGCACCACATTTATGCATTTTTATAATGCATATATCCACTTTTGAAAGTTGTGCAGAACTACTGAAGCCACTATTTTTACTCGGTAGTTATATTCTATGTAGTCTAACCCAATAACTTTATGTCGAGTCTTCCACTATGTATTGTTGTTTTGGTGAATTAAAGTCAATTTGATTCAATATTACTTCTTAGGGAGGGAATTTTTAAGTACAACGGACATAACAAAAATGAGTGTTATGAATTAAAAGCAAACAAACAGCATTCATAGGTAGATTTAATTATGTAAGGCAAACTGTTCTTCACTCTGTTAGACATGTTTTGGTGATCTAACCATTATGCATTAAGAAGAGAAGAAAGAAAACTCTTCAGTTTGGCTTTGGCCTGACAATCTACTGGGAAGAAAAGTCAACCAGCTGCTTCAGCAGTGATCTTGGTAGAGGACAGGTCTCAGTATCAAGAAATGACAGAGGACGAGAAGGTGAAAACTCAAAAACACTTTTACACACCCCGTCTCCTCTGCTCTCCTGCCATCTGTTCCAGGAAGCAGAAGCATGGAGACTATTAGGCTGAGCTGACATGTAAATGCTGCAGAGGGAGGAACCATCATCTGGGTCAGAGATAGGTTAATATACCCATATTTTGATATGGGTATATTGATATCGTTTTGAGAACTTGCAAGTCATGTTTATTCCTGCTGTGACTTCTGCAACTTCATCCAGCTGGTGTGGAAACCATTAAATAAACAGACCTGGAGTTAACAATAAGAGCACTGATACCTCCTTGCAGTGCTGTTTGTGACAGCAGTCTGATAACGCATCAAATCTGATTTGGTTCGAAGCATACTGCCAGCCTGAGGAGCCGAGGCTCTAATAGCTGCTCCTCTGTCCAAACTCTGAAGCCTGCATCTGGAGTTTTTGCCCTAGACGATAGTGATAACTGTCCATTGCCTGCGTCACTTAATCCCATTCACAAATGATCACCACAAGAAATTCTAATTATTTTAACCTTCAGGATTTTTTAATGATTTTCCAATCTCTGGAATTCATCCAATTTTCCCTATTACTGATCTTGCAGTAGCATTGGAAAACTTCACAAAATCTTTTAATGACAGACATACATGCCCATTATAAAAAAAAAACACATTGAATTAAGAGCTCATACAGTCCTTAGGTTCTCCCCGCAAAGCATCATCTGCACCAGCATGATTAGGAAGGCTAAATCAATACATTTATAAGACAGTATAGCATCGCTTTAGGAACGCCTCACGGTTTTGATTTGACCATTTCCTCTCCTCTGGTCTCCATTGTCTCCTACCTGGTTAAAAAAAAAAAAATATATATATATATATATATATATATATATATATATATATTTTGCTGTCCTCTTCATTGACCTCTCAAAAGCATTTGATAACGTTGATCATAAAATCCTACTCCACAAACTTTATAGGACAGGTCTGGCTGAGGCCACACTTAATTGGTTCCACTCTTACCTGACAGAGAGAACTCAGACTGCTGTTATCGTTGGTACTCAATCAAGCCAGCTTACCATCAGAGATGGGTTGCCACAGCGGTCTATCATTGGTCCATTGCGGTTTACATTAAACATATATGACATAATTCTTCCTAATACTCCAATGTCCTCTTTTTTGCGGATGATATTGTATATGCCCCAGGCTTCACTCCAGCCCTGTCACGTCTTCAGTCTGCCATTCATGCTTTCCAATTAAACTCCTTAAACACACGTTTAAATGCATAAAAAACCAAGTACATAGTATTTTCCACCTCCACCAGTGACTCTGACTTTCCTGCCATGAACTTTCAAATTTCGGACTGATCCTTATTCTCTGTATCATCGGGTTGGATGGACCTCCTTACAGTTAAGAAGAAATAGCAATCTCATGTTGTTATAAAGCTCTACCACTGACGTTACAATACAGTCTGCGATTCAGTAGTTACTTAACCTTAGATACGTATCCCTCATGTACGCACTAATGTTGGCAGAACTGGTTTCAGGGACTATGCACCTTTTAAATGGAATGAACTGCAAACTGCCCTCAAACTACAGTCTTGCGTTCCCTTTGGTCATTTTGAAGCTTTATTATCTGATGTTTTTCATGATTCTTGTAACTGTTTTTAAATCCTGTCTTTTGCGTAGTTGTGTCATTTCTGTTTTGCCGATTGTGTTATTGTGAATGTTTCCTGCTCCCAGGTCTGTCTTGGAAAACAGATCTTAATCTCAAGGAGACTACCTGATTAAATAAAAATAAAATAATAATGATAAAAAAAAGGGAAAAACAACAGTGATGGTGTGGAGGGCTCACTGGTGACTTTCAGGCTTTGTTGCTTCAACACACCCACCCACACATTCTCCAGATATCACACTTACAGAAATGCTTCTTCGACATCTGAATTCACAGTAATCCTTCTCCTCGACTCGTACAGTCTGTCACAGCAATGCTTGGATGAACACATGACAACAGCAGGAGGCGTGAGAAAGTCAAGACCCCGACTGTCTGGGACAAGTAGCTTTAGATTAAATCTGAGGATTGCAGTGGCCCTTCACAACAGAGGACATGGCTGGACAGTTCAATTGTGTGCTGCTAATGGACCTTAAACAGACAGGTGTTGGTGGTTTAGATTTCAACTGGTATGGCTTTATTGGAGAAGTTTAAAGAGCCTGTTGCTCTTCCTAAGCTTTCAAGATGAAAGGATATTCTATTAAAACAGCAGTCTGCCAAAATGTCTTTTTGGTTTGTGTTTAACCCACCAAGATGAAAGTGTTGTCCAACAGGATGAATTTCAGCGCAATGCAGCAGAATGGCTTTGAGAGGTCAAGGACCCCTTTCAGAGGGTTATTCAGAGGGAAAGAGCTATGTGGAGGCAAGTGTCTTATGTAAAGTCAGCACACGATTTATCTCCATCCATCCGCCGGCTCTCTTTCTCACAACCTATCCAGCCTTTTCAAAACACCACACACTATACACACACTTACACACACAGTAACTGGCATCACATAAAGCTGTGTGTGGAGGATAAACAAGACGCCTGAGAGCAGGAAGGAGACGCTGATGTTTTCATATACAACATTTAACCAACCTCACTGCTCAGGTCTGCTGAAGAGAGACGGTGACTCACTGGCTGTAATACTGATGTGTTGGGATTCTGCTTTCAACAGACATACGCATGTCACATGTAGCACTGAGAACATCAGAAATTAATATTGTTTGTTTGGTTCTATTCCTTATTCTGTTTTTATTCATATAGACAGACATTAACATAAACAACTCAGAACCCTCTGAGCTTTTGCTGCTGTATGAACAGATAATGAATGACAATATAGTAAAACTGCTGAAAAATTCAGTACATTAATTAACCATTAAAGAAATGTCCTTATATACGTTTACAACTACACTATAGTGTGTTATAAGCCCTTCAATGTTTATATACTGCTAAATAGTGTTAAATAGTTACCCACATGATGTTCTGTCACAAGCAAAGGAACTATGTTGTGATTATGAGCAGCAGATAATGAATCAGGATAATAAAAGACAAGTTAACGAGACATGGCCTCTACAGCAGCCAATAGTAAGCCTCTGGCATATACAGTATGGCAGTAATGAAGACATGCACTGTTGAGGATCAATGTTTTTTTCATTCAATCAACCTCCTGCTAACAATATCTGTAATGATTTACAGTATATCATATATATTTGATCCTCTAGCCATCCATCTGCCAGTTATGTCCCATCATTATGAGCTGGAACAATCTTGCCTGTCAACCTTGGCCATCACCTGACCTCTAGTTTCACAAACAGCCTCGAGAGGAAGCACTCGCTGTCTTCAGACACCTCCCACTTCCCCCTGAACTGAAGTTTGACACCAGAAGGCAACCTGCTGGTACCAGAATACCAGATAATATTATGGCTTCCATCTCATGTTACACGGTGCACACATACTCCCCTGCTCCCTGAAATACACACAAGCAGGCCTGCTCGCTTGAACACGACAACCACTGGCTACTTCAATCAAATGCCCAGGATTAGACACAATGTCGTATGGCACAGAAACTGGAAGCTTAGCACGGAGTAAAATGTGCACAGCAATTATGAAAAAACTCTAATATATAAGATAATGATAAGTGATGGCAGCTGAAACCTATAACAGTATTTATATCATGGGTTATACAATATATTACACCACAGTTAATTCAAGATGAAATGTATTGAGAATGTATTTGCCGATGGAGCATTATTGCAGAGCAGAATCAATCATAGAATATAAAAAAGAATTGCTTCATATTGGTATGGATTCATTAAGTCAAAGCCAATGAAGTAGTTTCTCTGAATACCAGCCCACTTATCACACTTTAACGGTTTCAGTTATTTGATCTGAAACCGCTTTCCTAAATTGTCTTTGATTTCACAAACTCAGCATCAACCATTCATGTAACTGAAGTAAATAAATACCTGAATAGAATGTGTTGATTTTCAGGAGCTCCTTCTCGCAGTTCTGGAAAAACCTCTCCTCAAACTTGGCGTAGTATCTCTTCACCGTGTCTTCATCCGTGACTGAAAGAACAACAGAAAAATGGCGATGAGTATGTTAATGCACGGTTGCACTTTTATAATCTTGAGCCACGGACGGGATTTTGATGACAGTGCTCTTTTTTTTTGTGATTCCCATTTATGCTCACGCCTCATAGCTAATAAGCAATGACAAAGCACCGTTTATATTGTGATGGGTAGACGTGAAAAATGAAGCCATGACAAAACTGTCTGTGACTGAGGGGAACAAAATAGAGAAGAACACATACTGGAGTACTAAAGCAAAAGTAATGAGGCTGGAGGAAAGTGCCTGCATGTACCCGATAGATCTCTCCTTGCTTACATTATTAATATAATTATACATCATGTAAAGTGACAATAAGTGAGACAGCATCTCAATGTGGGTAAGGTGGGAAGCAAATATCTATATGAAATAGTTTTAACTACAATGCTATGGCTTTTTTTTTTTTTTTTGTAACAGACCGTGATAAGTGAGAGTTGTCCCGTGTCTGATCTCCTGAGAACAAAAGAAAAATGCATCTGAGTATTTACTGTAGTTTAGTGCAGAATTAAGTCGAATTTTCAATAGTGAGTGAAAGCCTTTGTCTTACTGTTTAATACCTGAAATAACTATGTCCTGTGTCTGAATAAATTAGTAGCTTGTAAGAGTATTACAGCATATAAATCCAAACTCCAGTGTGTAACTCAGTCAATCATCCAAAAACATATCCCTGTAGGTTTGTCTGAGCAGAGCAATCTAGCTGTTCAAATTTGATTAACAACTTCCTTCCGTCTCACTTCAGTCTGACAAAACCCTGCATGTCTTTTTCAGGACCGGCCAATTCAATCAGCATTGATGCTCCGTCTCAAATAATCCTCCCCTCATTCACAGCAGACTACCCGACACCTGACGGAGTTTAAAATGTGGCCTCTGGCCAGTTACCTGCCAAGCCCAGATAGTGTCCGTACGCACGCGCACACACACATATGCACGATGAATCTCTGTGTCACGTTCACACCGATAGTGTCACATGACTTTTATTCATTAAATATCAAACAATAACGAATCTACAGTACCGTGTGTCTCACATACTATTATTAACAGTTGACCTTCTTATCGCTCAGACCTTGTTGTGTCATTGATATCTAAATGTCAAACAAAGACATTCATTTCCAAGCAGAATAAAGAGAGATGTGGGTTTGACATATAGAGTCAGATCCAATAGTCATACCGCATTGAATACATTTGCTAGTATATGAAGCGAGGCTTGACTGCCACTGGTAGATGTAGAGGCTTTCTATTCAACACAGTAATAAAAAAGAGACACCCCAGGCAGCAGCCTGTCAATATGCTCTATTCACACACAAGCCTGTGATGAAAAGGTAAAAACATTTTTTTCAACAGCTTTACAAGGAAAATAAATGAGAAACTGCCTCCACACCCATTAAGATAATCAATTATAAGTTAATTAAACCGCATTCTGCAGGTGAAAACACTCTCGAAAGCCTAAAGTAGAAGGACAAATCCTAAGGAGCATAAGGAAAAGTTCCTACAGCAGATGCATTGAGACCTGATGCATAATATCCTTTACTCATAGTAGGAGTTCATCAAAGTAGTGCTCGTTAAACATCCAAAACAAGATCATTACAGTAATGACAACTGAAAAAAATGGGGCTGCATTATTGTAGTAGTTTGTGAACGAGAACAAACGTCCACTTAGCATCAACAGTGACCTTTTCATAGAGAGATAATAAGGGACAGAGCTCTTGTAGTACACTGATAATGGTACATATTCAGTGTAGAGTAAGAGTTAGTAAAGAAAGAAAGATTTAAATACTACCTCGCTCAATAAAGAAGGCAAAAAAGAGGATAAGAATGCAGGATGGAGACAAAAGGAGGGGGGAAAGATGAAGCTTCCACGAGAGGAGGTGAAAGAAATGTAGACCGACAATAAACAGAGAGAGACAGAAAAGGAAGCAGATGGTCTCCAATCTGCCTCGCACCTCTACACAATTGCACAGATCAGCTGCAGTCACAACTCCTCCAGCCCTACAACGATGAAGAGCTCAGCCACCTCAGCAGCTGCCAGACGAGTGGATGGATGACTGTTTGGATAGAGGGATGAATGCTTGAATTGCTGACCGATCGGCTGGCGAGCAGGTTAGCAGGATGACTGAGAGCCTGGCCAGTCAGTGTGCCGTGACAGAATGACTAATGGGCCAACATGCTCCTTTAGTTAGACCTGCAGGCAAGCAGCACACTGAGCTGAACTGTAATTCAAAGTAAAAGGTTACACAGCTAATGAACACTTCGTATGAAAGAGCACTGACGGATGGAGACGCAGAGTAACAGGAGGGGAAAAAAAGATGAGGAGCAGTGAACTCTGGATCATTTAACATCTAGGGTATGCTACCCATACATCAAACATTAGGTTTAAAATACATCTAATATATCCTAAAATTATTGTCAATTATGCAACACAATTAAAAACCTTTATCTTAATAAGAAACAGCTTGTCATCTAAGCCGCCTTTTTGGACTGAGGACTTTTGTAATTCCGACGGGCAGCATCTTAAACTGTGGTGCACCATTTAATCTGATGAAACTATGTGAACCACCTGATTTCACTTAATCAGGGAAAAACGCATTTTAACATTTCTTTTTAGAACTGCCCTCCATGTGGAGCTCAGGAAAGAACATAAAAATGTCATTACATGTAATTTTATGACGGTAATGATGTTCTTTCAGTTGCTTTTTAAAACTAGTACATTTACAGAGATGTTTCGGTATATATTTTGTGAGTTTGCCTTCTTTCTCTCTTAGATGCTGACTAACAGAGTTGGTGGATGAAAGTGTAGATGTAAAGGCACTTTGCAGGTAGAGAAGGGGTTATGAAATGGCCATGCATGCCCGTCTCTTTGTTTCCTGCCGACCTCGTGCACTACTGAACACATCAGTGGAGGTGTGTATGTGTATTTCCACATATCAGTACATGCACACATCTCTTTTTGTTCCTGCAGTTATGTGTGTGAGGCGTGCAAAGTGTGTGAAGTGTAACAACAAAGGCCACAGTCAGTTCATCTTCACAGCTGTGTTTTACTGAGGCTTCACCAACAGACTCTCTCTGCTGAAATGACTTATTTCAGCCATCTCCTGTCCCTTTACATTCAACCAGCATTAGCACAAATGAGCGTCATCAACATCTCATAATTATGTTGTCTCAACTCTTTACCTGCCTCCTAAGATCTAAATGCAATGAAACCTAATTACAAAAACATTCTGAATTCATGCAGCTACTATCGCATTTACTGTTTCTTTAATTTGATCTATGTTGTCAGTGTTCATGTTCATCTGACAGCTTCTCTTTCAGCTACACAGTATGTGTTCTCATTATCACAAGTCTGGGTGGACGATAATATAGGTGGCTTTCTAGAGTCCAACAGCCCTCACAAGAGGGATTTGAAGATAGATAAAAGTTTGGACTTCATCGGAAATGAGAGCGACAAAATAGAAAATACTCCCTTCATCAGCAAGTCAACTCTGGATCTTAAACAGAGTTGTGTGTGTGTGTGTGTGTGTGTGTGAGGCCACACCAAAGGGATGATGATGGAGCACCTTGGTAAGGAATAATGGTTCTGTCCCTGTGGGGCTTTGCAGTGATATATGTCTCTGCTTTGTGTGTATGTGTGTGTGTGTCTTTAAACTGTGTGTTTTGGTCAGTACTTCAGCACTGACACTTAAAGTGTCAACAACAGACACTATTCCCCTTTGTCTTCAGAGAACCAAATAGACCTGTGCTAAATAACAGATCAACCAGCTACAGGGCTGAGAAATACCAGCAGCTGAGAGAGCTGCATTTTGGTCAAGATGACCAAAATACGTGGAAGATGTAATATATCTTAAGCTACAGAAAAATCAAGGTGTGGTTTGATTAGATTTAGGACTTTTAAACCCTTTAAATCAAAAGCATGTACTAAGTAAGAGCCAGCAGTGGCGAGGCTTGTATTTTGCTTTCTCGCACCTAAACTTGTTGATGAATCAATTATTTGAAAGGCCAAACATGAGCTGGGTACAGCTTTAATAATGAGAATGAGAATTTACAGATTTTGTCCACTTTGTATCATTATGAATTATCTACTTCAGGTTTATGGACACATAAAACATCACGACACAAACTTGAGCTCATTAAATGTGATTTGTCTTTTAGAGACTAAATTATACATTAACTAGTAATTGTAGATCAACTAACAATGTAAATCATGTGTCCAATACAAGCTTCCAGAGCCCAAAGTAACATCTTGATATTGCATATTGACAATTCTTTTAAATGATTCATTTTGCGTCAACATATCGATTACGCAGCTCAGACATAAAACCCAAGCATTTATTTTCTGTTTCAGAATCATCAGCACAACAACTAAACTGCTGGACTGTCTGCACAAGCAGGAGATGCAGGGGCCTCAACAGCAGTGTATCAAGGGTACCAAGGGGTTTTGTACTCGAGATAATGAGCCAAACTTGAGTACAGCATGCGATGAGAAGAGTAAATCCAGTGCAGTATAGTGTGCTTCCCCTTTTTTCAGACAAAGAATTGTGCTGGTGGCTAGAAAAACAACTCTTGACCTACAGTATTCCCAGGGCGGCTTGTAGAAGGCAGCCCCCCTCTCTCTGCTAACCCCTTCTTCTGTAGATTGTATAAATAAATGATGAGACAGCTTCCCCGGAACCCTACTACTCTAACCCCCGAAACCCTTCACACACACAAACACACACCCAACCCCCAACTTCTTATATTCACATACAGGCATTCTGTGACGCGACCCCACAAGACCAACACATAAATGCTTTAAGGAGACCCTCCAATTTGCTGACAGGGAGAGCGGCAAATCGACACAAACATATACATGTCACCCTGTATCGCATCCTTCACAACTCAGAACTGCCTTTATTTTCTTGGGGGGATGTTTGTTGTTATAATGCTTTTATTCTATCATTCTTCTGCTCTATCACCTGTTTCATGCTGA